ATGGATAATGTCTTTAATCGACGCATGTCAGCTTCACAGCATTGTCCGATTCATTACCCTTCCTCGCGCTCTGCTCTTCTCCACCGAAACGACAAAACTAGACCCAACAGATGACGCAAAAAAAAACCCCCACAAAGAACCAGAATCATGGAACAGAAAGACTCGGTGTTGCATTGCATTGCGAAAGAGAAATCGACGAAAGAAGGCTCATTGAGGCTCCCGTAGAGAACGAGGCTGCCCTGGTATGTTGTTGTGATCTATTTGGAGATTCAGACCAGGGCGAGCCGTCTATGTTGCAGAATGTATGTATAACGGCGAAGTGTATTCTCGACTGAGTGTTTGCGGATCGCCAGTAGTGCCCTGACCTTATTTTGCATCCTCTAGTATTTTCTTTTCCCCATATTTTAGACGAAAGTGGTGGGGTGAGATATGGATACAGGCATCGAGTCGTGATAGATTTGAAAATGGCAGTCGCTCAACAATGCTGACGCTTGCCGATGCAGAAGCCTCAAAGGGCCGTGTGTCATGCCATGCGGGTATCAGATGTCGGGGACCAGAAAAAGGGAAATGAAACGGTCGTGGCGATAACGATATGTGTAGATGAGCAATGAAATGGAGCGAGCGGTGAGCTCAATGGCTGATTGCCCAGCCCGATGATGAGTGAGAGGCGGGCCGCCGTAGATTACTCGTCGCTCTCGCCCTTCCGCATCCGATCGTTCCAGCGCCGCTTGCCGACGCGGGTCTCGTAATGAGGTGCGAGCACCTTGACGTCCTGCATGATGGACTCAATGGCCGATCGCGTCTTATTGCGATAGCAGTCAACTGTGCGCGCGTCTCAGTAAAGAAAAGGTCAGATCACACGGCGGGGATGGACTCACGGGCTCGCTGCAGGAAGACGGTACGCCCAGGGAAGACACGGCTTTGAAGCCAGGCCATGCGGTAGCCCAGATCATTCAATCGCACTTCCTTGCCACGCATGGCTTTCCTCATTCTGGGAATGGCAACCTCGGCCTCTGTGTTCTCGCCGACAGGCACCTTGACCATCCTGGTGAGGTTGCCGCGGGCCCGGCGGCCGCCGTGGCTATCAGTTTCCTCGATGCCGTCGTCTTCGTCTTCGGCGTCGTCCGTGAAGAACTTGGAGCCGGTAGCCGACGGGGGCGGACTCTGCATTTCGCGTGGGAAGTACGAGCGGGGGTAGACAGAAGACCCCTTGCGGAAAGAATCAGGGATCTCGCGCGTGTCGACGCCGTCGAGGGTGACACGGACGCGAAGACGGGAGCCACGGACGTTGTCTTCGACCAGGATGAACTTGCGTTTCTTGGCCTCGGGAATGTTGGGAAACAGATTCTCCGGCTCATCTGGCTCGCTGCGGCTCTGACGACGAGCCGTGATGGGGCCGCCATGAGGGGCGCTGCCCATGTGTGGCATGGAGGCCTGGTTGGGGGCGGGATAGGCCGAGTGGCCACCATAACCGCTGCTGTTGAAAACCTGCGATTGCCTCACGTCATCGCCGGCGGCGCCCGGTTGGCCCGCTGGGGCTTGATGATGGTGGTGATGACCTTGCTGATCGTCCATGTAGTCATCGCCTGCAAGAGAAACAGTCAGCCCGTGTGTCTCGGAGATATCATGTGGCGTCGATCACGCAAGACCAATGACAAAACGTGTATGATCGACGAAACTCAAAACAATACGAATTATTCTGGATCAGAGCGCAACACCATGGGGTTGCGGGGGACGAGGTGTGGGTAAGCGACGACGACGGATACAAAAGGGTCGTGACAAATACAGGTCAGCCAGCTTGTGGCCTTGGTAAGTAATGAGGTTTTTGAGTGAGTGATTGGTACGCGATAGCAGTGCGGCTCTGGAATGCAATAAGGATGTGTGTGCCAAAACTTGAAGCAATGCGACTTTTATGCCAGAGACCCGTCGGAATGCCCTTCTGAAGGAGGCAGTAGTGCAGTCTGACAGATCGGGCAGAGGACTAACAGCAGCAGCAACTGTGTGCAACTAGGTAATGTACAGGTCTGTGCCGAAGAGAGAAAGAAAATTGTTCCTTCCTGTCCAGCGCGCACGCGCGGGGTTCTGCTGCAACAAGTGACACTGATTGTGATCTGGTCATGGCTAGAGGAGGGGGGGGGGCAGACAATCCGCCCCAACCAGCCGAGTGATATAACACAGTAGGGCATGCATAAAAAAAAGAGGACAGTGACAAACCCATTCCCGAACATCTGATGAACCAAGCAAATAAGAAAAGAAAAAGGAGAGGACAAGAGTTTGTGCAAGGTAGATGGTGAACAAAAGGGCGCAGAGGCCGAAGTCGAACTCTGTCACCACGAGGGTATCTCTGGCACAGGCGCGCGTGCGTGGCGGTGATGAGGGTAGAGGAGATGTGAGTGATGGTGCTGGAGAGGAGGAGGGGGGTAGGTATCACAGAGGCAGTCAACACGGCTTCGGGTTGTCGGGTATTGTGCGGTGCAGTGCAACAATCAACAACAGACAACGGGGCGTAAAACAACGCAGCAGAGCAAGCGCGAGGATTTCTCATCACATCTGGTGAAACATACCGACTTCTTCCCCGCCTCCGGGAGCGGTGTTGTGACCCATGTGACCCATGTTACCCATTCCAGGCATCTTGGCTGCACCTCCCGCACCCATGCCACCCGGAGCTTGAGGCATGCCTGGCGGGCTAGGGCCGGACATGTGGGATCCGGGGTGGGGTGGCTGTGATACGCTCTTCCGCGTGTTGAGCTTCGCCTGTCGTCGGACCCTTCGGCTCCGCAGTCTCGGATCTTGGTTACTGTTCCTCCAGCTGTCAACCGCACGCTGGATCAGACCACGCTTGCCTCGCAGAGAGGGGTTTAGCTGAGCCAGGGCCCAGCCGACCGTGTTGCATTCCGTTTCGTACACCTGTCGGTTGCCCCTGTACTGGTCCTTGGGGCAGCAGGCCCGGGGATAGACACAGTTCTCCGTTTTGAAGTCGGCAGACAGCTCGTCCGTGTTGACGGACTCGACGTCACAGCGAATCGTGTATTCCATCTTGACGCGGTCCCGAGAATACTCAAACGCGATCCATTGGACGCCGTTCTGGTCTTGACGAACGA